CTTTCCCTTTCCCTTTCCCTTTCCCTTTCCCTTTCCCTTTCCCTTTCCCTTTCCCTTTCCCTTTCCCTTTCTCTTTCCCTTTCCCTTTCCCTTTCCCTTTCCCTTTCCCTTTCCCTTTCCTTTTCCTTTTTTCACTACAAAACAGATGTTATGCAGGACTTTTTTCAATACATAAACAACATCTATGTTGAAATTTTATCATAAACTGCATAAAATAAGCAGTGTCTCTGGCGTCTTTTCCAGAATTGTAGTGATGCCACCTAAAAGGTTACATTTATCAATTTTAGTAAATCCACAATCAGGTAATCCCACTCCTTGTTTTTCCTCCTAGAGAACACCCTTATACCTTGTCTGAAATAATTCAATTAGTGTGTTTAACCCTGCAGCTGAACTGCCTTGTCTAAGAAGTGCTTGAGAAGTGCCTTGCCTTGCCAGACCTCTCAGGAGGTACTGGGTTGGTGCCCACTGTGCATGCACTCCTCTCCTCCCAACCCCAGCTCAGCAGGATACACAGAACACAGTGGATCTCCTCCACTTTCACCTGGTATCTAGTCACTTCAGGACCCCTCCTACCTGACAGAGATTAAATCAACCAGATTAATCTCTCTGTATTATCAGGGCATTTATTTTATTGTATCTTCTGTCCTGAGCAAATAGTTGATACAACAAAACAGCAACAAAATAAACCCCAGGCTATTGATAGATGAGAAAATTTCCTTTACAGAACCAGGGCATGCACTTATCCTCACTTACCAAAAATCTTCCAGAGAGATGTAACTTAGCCCTTTTTCTTTTTAACATAAATAGTGTAGTCAGCCGTAGAAGATTTCAGTCCCTGAGTAGGAAATTTTCACAAAGACCTGCAAAAACAAATAATATGTAATACAGTGGTGTCACAGAATTCCATGTATACTTTAGCCATAGCTTTTTTCTCTCCAAAGTGCTAAAGTAAAAAACTTATTGCTTGTACAATAAACTTAGACCTTTTCCATGTGGCAGCACACCAAAAATCTCTGAAACTGGACACTTGAAACTTTGCAAATGAGAGAGAAGACCATGAGGTTGTAATTTCCATCATCTAATCTCTGAGATAATGTCATTCGCAACAAATAGATTTGCAACAATCTGCTTCTAAATTGCAATCTGTTTACAATACACAACACAACACACCTGAGAGTTTTTAGCCATTTACTTATGATGAAATGAATTGTGTCCTAGGAGTAATTGGATGGATACCATAGGGCAGTTGTTCAGATGTAGTTATCTATGTTGGAGATGCCAACATCTAAGCAGAGGGATGCCACATCAGCTTCTTAGCTCATGGTAATATTATTGTGTGCCAAACCAAAGGATTCTCCTGAGGTGGAGGAAACCCCACTGACAGAGCAGGAGTCTGCTTTGTCAGGGGGGCGCAGAAAGGTGGCAAAGTTGATGGGACCTTTCCTAGTGATGTCATCAGAGGAGATGACATTTATGAGGATGGAATGAGTAGCATGATGAGAGAGGAGGCTATTGTGAGAAAGCACCTTTCATGAAAAAGAAATAGTGTGACAGAAAAGCTGACAAAGTGTAAATAGGGAGTACATTGAAGAAGGAGAGATTTGTAGATGTGAGCAGAAATGTGAGGATGCATGATACGCAAGTGTCCTATTTCTGAGCATGGTTAGTGTGATAAGCACTAAGGGGAATGACATCTTGAAATCTTGTACTGAAATCATCATTATCTGTTGCTGACCGTATCTGTTTTTATAAGTCATGGTAAAGTTCAGAGGCAGTGCATGCAGGTATATTAAGTGGAAGTCATCCTGTAATTACAGGGGGAGGTGGAACATCATCCTCATTTTTCAGAATCCATTCTTAAATATAGTAGCTGCAAGTGTTTAAAGCAACTTGAAAATAATATTCTGACAGGCAAGTGGACTTGTAAGTGTGAAAAAATGATTACTAGAAAATGCATGCTTGAGTTACCCGAGTAGAAAATACACCTAGAATTATTTAACCTGCCACTCCACAATGTGTCTATGGAAACTCATCTGAGAAGGCATCTTTTGAGGGAAAAAAAAAGACATTCCCTAAATCTAGAATTCCTGTAATATCAACATCTCGTTTGCTGCTCCTGTGATCATTTCCCCATGATTATTAATTGTGATCTGCATCATCAATAGAAGGTTGTCAAACTGTTGGTTTCTTTTTCTTTCCTCAGAATTATTCTGTACTTGATATGAGACCACCAACTACAGTCATCACATTGAACAATGCCATGTATTGGCAAGAATTTGAAGATGCGTGCGTCTATGAATGTCTGGATGGGAAAGACTGCCAGAGCTTTTTCTGTTGCTATGAAGAGTGTAAATCAGGCTCATGGAGGAGAGGACGGATTCACATAGACATCTTAGAGCTGGACTCTTACTCTAGAGTCTTTTTTCCTACATCCTTCCTGCTGTTTAACCTGGTCTACTGGGTTGGATACCTCTATCTTTAAATGTTGCCTGTAGTGGTGAAGACTGCTGTGTTTTCACACTTCAGAAGGATGGTGAAAGTGCAGAAAAAGTGAAGGTCACGGTCAGTTTCATCTCAAATTATAAAGGCTACATTAACCTTCAACATCACAGAGCCTGATGAAGAATTTGAACATGTAATTGCCTGAAAAAGAAAAACATGGAAGAATTCTCTCCTTACTGCTATTCATTTTAAGGAAAAGATTCTTACAAAATTCAGCTGAATTTGTAGTGTAAGCAATGTTTATGAATATTGTATATTAGAATCTCTACTATTCTCCCTTGGCATAGAAGCTATACACAATTCAGGCAAAGGTTAAATATGTCGGTTTTGTTTTTCATTCCCATACTTTCTTCAAAATCCTGCCATATCCCTGAGGCTCAGAGCAACATACAGTGGCATAAGCCAAAGCTCATGAAACCACTCATTCATATTTAAAATTGCTTAAGATATGTCCCATAGGTTTGGGGAAATATTTCTTTGGTGTTCTTGCTATAGAGAAACCACCAAAATACAGTAAGAAATGTCTCTGGTGGGATCGAAACATGGACGTTATTTTCTGCAAGTATCTGGCATTCATGGAATTACCCACTTACCTACACATATTGTTTTTAACTTAGTGTGAAAAGGCAGAGTTATAAGAAAGCTATCATTTTGATATAAATAAAAAACTTGCCTATCTCTGAGGCATCTGTAGAGATAACTTCTACAGTTTTTCAAGCTTTTAACTGTCTTTTTTATGACTGGTTAAACACAGGATGGTCACTGATTTCTAAAGTACTTGAAGCAGGACAAGAATCCTGCTTGTTTGTGTCATTGTAGCAGATCATAGTTGATAGGCCATGAGTAAAAATCACTAAATAATAGCACTAGGAAAATGTGACTTTCTTCAGATTGCAATTTACTAAAAATTGCTCTCATTCATTCTTATTTTTTCTCTCAAAATTATTTTACAAAATTGAAATACACGTGCCAAAGGACATTTTTTATTCCTTCTGTAAAGATAAATATTGCAGCCCTTACAGCAGTTGTTCTCTGGGTCTGAGCTCAAGACTGAACACTTTTGACTTGAATAATGCATTATGGGAATTCAGTTGTCACACTTGGATTAACATGGGATAGTTGTCACAAGTAGAAAAAGGTTGTTTTAATTTTGTTCCTAAATTGCCAACTATATTTTACCCTAAAAAGCTATTTTGTATTTTTCAAGCTTTTGACAATTAAATTCTTAAAGCACCCAGTTTTTCAAAACTAATTTTAGTGTTAAACTAGAGTACATCTTTTACAGACTGTCTCAATAACTGTTGTTAAGCAAACAAAACAGATTCACAACTAAATAGCAATAGGTTTTCACTACCCTTTGGATAACAAATGGTTACAAATGCTTGAAGTTAAAACATACATAAAACCAAAATTCTACTTTTTTTTTCTCTTCTGGAGGACTTGATAATTTTTTTATCATCTCAAGAAATCTGTGTCTCTTCCACACAGTACTTGACAAAAAATGAGTAGCAGATGTGATTGAAGAGCGGTTCCTTTTCTGCTCAGAAGGAAAATCTTGCAAACAAGCAAAAACTAATGCAATGATAATTCTAAAGGAAAAAAATTATGCTGTCATGTTCTTTCAGACATCACTGTCTGTCATTGCTGTTGCTCTGTGCTTCCAGTGAGTTTCTAATTGAAAAAAAATTACTAATAATACAACAGTTAACTGTAGTTATTCAAAATACTTTCTTTTGGTTTTCACTTGTCTAAAATATCAGAAAGAGAAAGCTGGGTTTAGGTGGGGGAGAGGAATCACTTCTCTAAGGACTGACAAAATTCAGATTAGAAGCACAGAGAAGAAATGTTTTGTGGCAGCATCAAAACCTTATTTTTAACAAAATCTGCCCAGTCTGGTGTTTTCTAAACCAATGATAATTATCTGATTTCAAAATACATATTGAAGTTTTTACTAACTCTCAGTGCAAATTACTGTAAAATCTATTACTCTGTAAACTTCTGTGTCCTGCACTTGGAAGAATGGATTTTATTTATGGATAAGTTATATTTTCAGTGGAAGAAGGTGATTGAATTGAAGTTGAATATCCTGGTCTCTAATTATGAATTAGTCACCTTCAGCCATATTTTGCAAGAATACTAGAAATATTTCAAGCATAAAAGAATGGAAACAGTTATCCTTTAGAGGCCAGAGCCTGCAAACTCTCTGCACAATTAATTGATTTTGGTAGAAGTATTGAGACAGATGAGGCACAAGAAGGTGACTTCCACCACTAGATCTTGAACAGGTAAGTGAGGTTTATTTAGCAATTGCATACTTGAGTGAATGTCCTGGGACTAAGTGTAGAAGTGGAACATTCCCACATCGGCTGAGGAGCATGTACTTCTCTTACACTTCTGCTCATGGATACTCATTCCTGCTAAAAGCATGCAATACCATCAGATCCCCCCTTGGAAGACCGATTCCACTAATTCCATTCATATTGCCTCTGTTTTCTGAATCCTTTCATAAACAGAAGTTGGAAGCATATAATTCCACTTCTTTTCCACGGTCCTCACCAAGAAAGAGTCTGCAGACATAACTGGTTTCTGATCTTATACTGACAGCAGAGAACATCTTTGACTGTGTAATATATTCTACTCTGGGATTATGTGCAAAAAATTGATTTATATGCCAGGTGAGAGGCTGCAGGCTGTCAGGTTCCAGAATGCATTCCTTTGGTTATTCCCAGTTGCTTCATTTACTCTCTCTGCTTCATTGCTCTGTGCTTTGGCAGCCACTGAAAAACTGTAGAGATCAGGGAAGATAAGCTTTCTAGGCTCTGCATCATTCAATATACACTTATTCTAGATACCTAGATAATGTGGTCTGCATATATCTATGTGCCATATATTTCTGTAGTAGTAAAAATATCCTCATTAACCTCCAGATATTCTTTTGCTTCTTTTGCAAATTGAAAAATATTAACACTTCTGTGCACCGTCCCATGAGAAATGCAAGAAACACCTTTTAACATTTTAGAATATTTTCTTATCAGATAATTTCATATTCAACACTTGCATTTATTCAACTATTTCTTTTTGTTATTTAGTACTTCTTTTTACCCTTCCAAGGAAGAGCAGGGAATGGAGGAAGGCAAAACCCAAATGATTATTGAAATGAATGCATTTGGATATATATGTAAAACCACAAAATCAAGTATCTTCACATTACATTCCTTCCTTTTTGAAGTTACAGAAAAGATTGTGAGGGTTTGTTTAGATAACTGACTTTTTCCAGAAGGATCTAAAGTCAACCCTCTTATTCTCCTCCTTCAATTAGAAGTTGACGGACAGTGCTCTCCTGCACTGAGGGCAGCATTTTCAAGGCACTTAAGAATGTATAAAAATACTGGTCTGCTTAATTCAGTCTTCTCAGCTGTTTTGGCGCTGCTGCCTAGCATACTGACAGCTCCTTCTTTTAGAGCCATTCTTCCAAGAATAAGTGCATAAAAACTTGCAGCGAGTTTCTGCTGTCTCAATGTCCAGCAGTAAGTACACTACACACCATGCAATTTTAATGTAACTTTCTAATCAAGAAGTATGGCTGTATATTAAAACACCTCAAGCAATTCAATAACCTTTCTTCTCTTTCAGATGCTCATTTTCTCCTTCATCAACTCTCAACTCTATATTGGTATATTGTACATACCAGTAAAAAAGATAAAAATTACAGCAGGAAGAATCAAAAAAGGCAGAACTGTCTTCACAGAGACATCAATGAGTAGTGAAGCCAAAAGTGGAGGAAAAAAATTTTTATTGCTGTGCAGTTCTTATCTGTACTACTCCTCCTATTCAATTCTTCCTAGCAACTACCCACAGTTAATTCCAAATCATTCACCTGGTGGTCTGCACATTCTTCAGCAGGAACAGCAGTGACACATGAGCCTTTAGCTGATAGGAAATTATATTTCTGGAACTGGAGGCATTCTGCCAAATAACTCAGATAGCTATCTCAGATGCTTTTGCCGCCCTGAAGTGTCTCCGAGTATAGCAGCTCATGTTGCTGCATGAACTTATCATAACTCACTTGGTCATTTCATGAATGGAATCATTCTAACTTCCTTTTTACACCAAATTTCACCATATATCTAGAAAAATTACTCTGCCCTGCCTATGCTCCAAGCAACCAGGTGCAAGACAGCTCTGGAAAGACCATAGTTGCTGTACGGCTGAATTTGCGGGAAGGGAAACTCAATATTTTAAGACAGATTTAATCAGCTTCCCAATATGGAGGGTTGGTGTTACCTTCTAAGCTGTAAAACAAAGTGCCCACTGCAACTTGCAAAGGCTGTCCATAACAGGCTGTACTTTTCCCATTGGCTGCTCTTTCTGAGTTTCCATAAAGCACTAAGAAAAGGCAAGCCATATCCCATAATCTTAGCTGCCTGCACAATTAGATTATATTTTTCAAGGTATATTCTTCTTCTTGCTTACAATGAAATCTTTGTGCCTCTTACATTAGTGCCTTTAGTATTTCTTGATATTGAAGGATATATAATTCCTGGCCTGAGAGTTAGAAAGAGGGATAATGACTTTGCTGGAGTCCTTCCTAAACACCAGTGTATGACCAATATTCTAGATATCTTCAACCTACACATTTGAGTATTTGTTTGATTTTTCTTTATTTTTTTAAGCAGTCTGTAGGTTTGTTAATTCTTAAGTAACAAGAAAACAGCAGTGCAATTTCAACAGTTTAGGAGAATCCTTCCTTTTTCACTCAGCAACTTAATTCCACCAAGAGATGCAGAGCATAAACCCAAGGCTGATGTTTACCTCATCCAGGTAACTTCCCAGAAGAGTGTTTAAAATAGGCAAATACCAATCTATGCACTGGGAATGCATTTCCACAGCTGAAAAATAATAAGGTTATTTTTCCTTTAGAGATTTATTTCTTTTACTGAGTTCATTTTAGATGCTCCCTCCCTTCCTCTCTCCCTTCACCTATACAATTGGCAAGCACAAAAATCAGCTCAGCTTACACTTACATACTGAAAACTTATATTGAAATTTGTACTTGCGTACTGAAAAAGAAGCTTAGTGTCATTAGTCTTATACTATATTTATATGCCTATAAGCTTCTTACAGTTGACCACATTCTCTTCCTGAAGGGTTCTAGTATATAAGCGAAAAATGAAGGCCTTCCTTCAAGACACAGTGGCCTTAATAGTTTTACCTTTTCCCCTGGGATCCATGGGTTGTCTGGTAAACAAACAGAGAATCTACTTTCCTCATCATTTAGGCCACTGGTTTAGATACTAAAACAAAACTATGTTTTATATCTGAAACAAAATTATCTTTTAACAGAAAAAAATCAGCTCCATTTGAACTACATTGCTTTGACAAGTTAAACAATATATATTTGTACATCGTATCTGTGGTGGATAACTCAAAAATATATGCTACCCTATAACCCTGTCTAGGGTTAAGTGCTGAATTAGGGATAAATGTATTCATCCCATTTACCTAGGAACTGTTTCTTTACATGGCTTTGGATTGTGACTGACTTTGAGAATTTGGTTAGTGATCACTGACATTCCTCAAGGGAGATATCCAAGATATGTTATGATGTATTCCTTTCTACAAACTTTACTTTCCCTTAATTTTTCTCTTTTGTTGTGGGTCCTCAAGCCAGTGTCTGTATGCATCTGGAGTCCTCAAGGGTTTTCCTAGAATATATATGAAATTAGACAATAAAATTCATCATGAAGTTCAGTGCCTAAGAGTTGGACACTTGAGAATTCTCTACTTTCTATCAAAGCATGCATTTTGATTTTGTAATCATTTGCTATTTGCAAAGGACAAAATAAGACAGCAGAAGATGTGGTTATGTTTATTCATATCTCTGGGGGTAGGCTTTCCCAAGGACTGAACCAGACAAACCAGGCACTGAATATAGTCAGTTATTTGCCAGGTATTCTTTTACCTAGGTAATGAATGGCACTAGCCAGAGGAGCCACAACAGCCTGTTTGGTGTCCTGGAAGCACTTATGTAACTCAGCTTTACTTGGGGGCCTAAGCCAGCCTGTAGAGCTTCTTATAGGGGAAAGCAGATGCTCCCTTTAGAGTTTAATACAGCACTTAATATTCTCCTAATGTCTCTTTACCTTCTTGCAGCCTATGGCAGTGCTTGGTAGAGATGAAGCTGAAAGACACAATATATTATAAAATACAAAGAATGAAATATCCACAGTGAAGTTGGTGGCAGCATGTTATTGAGACTGTGCTATGCTTACAAGTTTTAAAGAAAAGGCCTCTAGGTCTGAGTCAAAAACTTCCTCATCAGTCAACACCATTGATGGGAAGAGGTATTTAAGTTAAAATATTCTTGCAAGCAAACAGGAAGAACTTTGGATCATACCCTGGCAGGGCTGACTATTCATTGAATGGCTTCAAAGCTTGTGGAGAGCAGATTTGTAACTCAAGTACTTAAATTCAGATCTGTGATTTACATACTTAAAGTGAGTCCTAAAACAGGTACATGACAGAATTTCTAAATTGTACATTAATAGAAAATGGATGAAGAGAATAACATTGATTACATATTTAAAAAAAAAAAAAAAAAAAAAAAACTATGACAAATGAATGTGGAACATAGCATGCTACTGAGTCTATTCCATACTTACAGACCATGTGGGATCCTTAAAATGTGAGCTGCTGTTGAACTCATAGAGAGCTGGTAAAAAAATTGCATCTGACAGTATTACAAAGGCAGTCCAGGGAAGTATGCCACTGCCAGACAGAGTGCTCTAAAGGAAACAAAATTTCAGAATAAGGTTCCACAAAACAGTGCTCCTCTGATCAACGGTGGAAAGACTTGTGCAGAGACATTACAGTCTCAGTCCCCCATATTCTCTTTTGTAGCCATTAAGCAGTCCTATGACTTTATTGTCATCCATGCACACATGCGATGTCAACCATGAATCATGGGCCAACATGTGGCTGTCACAGATATAAACACTAGGCTGGAGGGAATCTGAGCCAAGTCTGTGGCTATCACAGTCAGTAGTCAAACACCTCATATAATCCTGTTTAAAACTCTCAGTATACTGCTCTCAAAACTTTTTTTCCCAATGTGACAACATACGGATTTTATTTTTTTTTTTTAAGTGAGTGCAATTTTAGGAATCACATAAAAACTGCCAACTATGTGCCAAATTGAACTTTCTTATAGAACACAAATAAAATTTTAGATTTCTAATTATCCTTCCTTCCTAAGTTTTTCTTAGGGGTGTGTGATTTTTTTGCTAGCAGTGCAGCTTGTGATGTCATAGTGAAATGAAAGTACAATTATGTGCCCAATGTGCCTTGAATAATACAGGTAGCACTAGTACCAGTATGTCATTCTAAGTTAGATAGCCATCCTAGTGATCCCCCAGACTGACCTAACCAGAAAATTCAAATAACCGTGTGCTTCATCTTCTCAAGTTCTCAGACAATGATTTTTCCCTATTGATCACATCCATTCCGGTTTACTTTGTGTTAAGGAGTAGGGCTGTGCGTCTAGAATACTATTTATATTCGTATTTTGATCACAACATTTGTATTTCTGGATACAAATAAATACACATTATCAGAAAATGCAAATATTTTGTGCATATATTGGTGGTTGTATTTTCTTACGAAAGTTGAGCTTAACAATATAGAAAGAGACATCTGGAAATTTGCCTAAGAGGCACAGTGTGTTACCTTTCTGATTGGGTGTTCTTGAAAAGAATTTGAAGTCTTTTTAAAAATATTTTCAACAGGCAGCATGGCCAAGCAGTAAACTAAAAGATTTGGGACTGAGGTTTATCCACAGGGCTAACATAAGTTGGGAAGAATATCCTATAAAATTCAAAGAGAAATATAGAAATAAGATATGTCTGTTGCATAAACTGCTTGAATGTAAACACTTCATAATTTAAAAATAGCAACCAAATTTGGTTTCCAAACATTCCCAATTCCAAATTTTTCATACACTGAGAGCTAGTTCT